AATAACATACCCTAAAATCACACCTGGATTGGTTTATTTTTTTAATTGACTGTATTAAATTACTCTAAAGGGGCACCTGGGTGGCTCAGTCTGTTAAGTGGCTGCCTTTGGCTCAGGTTATGATCCCAGGGTCCTGGGGTCAAGCCCTGTGTAGGGTTCCTTGCTCACCAGTGAGTCTGCTTCTCTCTCCCCCAGCCCCTGCTCTCTCTCTGTCTCTTGTGCACGCACTCTCTCTCTCTAATAAATAAAATCTTTTTAAATATAACTCTTTAAACCTTTTAGGCCATCTAAAGCCCATGGTCCTTACCCTGTACCTAGAGATCACCAGACTTACATCCTCATTCAGATGGTCAGCCAGTGAATGGTCCAACAACAGAAGCCTGTGAAAGAGGTCCAGGCCCGAGGGTGCTGGCCCACGGGGGGATCCTGGGGCCTTTGGCTTCTCTGGGTCACCCCATCCCGAGGGACCCAGAGGCAGCCCTGCCCAGACATCCACACTCAGCTCAGGGTCCTGTGATCTGGAATGGATGAGATAGCAAGTCAGACTAGCTCATGTTCTTTAAGAAACTGCCCTTCAGGGGTGCCTGGGTGGTGTAGTTTGTTAAGCGTTGGACTCTTGGTTTCAGCTCAGGTCATTATCTCAGTGTCACGAAATCGAGCCCTGAAATCAAGCCCTTAGTCAGGCTCTGAGCTCAGTGTGGAGTCTACTTAAGACTCTTTCTGCCCTTTCCCCCTGTTCTCTGTCTCTCAAATAAATAAATCTTTAAAAAAGAAGAAAGAGAGGCGCCTGGGTGGCTCAGTGGGTTAAGCCTCTGCCTTTGGCTCAGGTCATGATCTCAGGGTCCTGGGATCGAGCCCCGCATCAGGCTCTCTGCTCAGCAGGGAGCTTGCTTCCCCCTCTCTGTTTGCCTCTCTGCCCACTTGTGATCTGTCTCTCTCTCTCTGTCAAATAAATAAATAAAATCTTTAAAAATTTAAAAAAAAAAAAAGGAAGAAAGACACTCCCCCTTGAGGATCGTAGGGTGCTTAAGGGGGAAAGGAGGGTACAGCCACTAGCTGGAGTTCCTGGGACCCAGAAACCGTGGAATGTCAGTTCTAGGAGGATCTGAGAATTGTTGATTTATAGGAGGGTCTAAGAATAAGAATGGGGGCGTGAGAGTGAGAGAAATTGATGTGAGGTGGGGGGCAGCCCACCTCACATCTGAAAATGCTACAGATTGGGAACCAAGTCAGCCTGGAGGCATTGAGCACTGGGACTAAGAGCAAGGAGTTGAAGGACCCAGGGATTTGGAAGAGGGGAGAATTAAAAGGCAGTAGAGGCAAAGGGGGCCGTGAAGGAATACAGGGAGTCAGATTTTGAAAAATTTGTAATTCCAGGAATCTGATTTTAGGAAGCCAGAGCTAGGCAACTGGAGACTGATGCAAGCCCTGGGAAGAGCGGGGGATGTGGTATTTTGGGGTGGGGGAAGGGGTTAGTACCTGTGCGTGGAATTGTCTCCAGCTGGGGGTGCAGCCCGACCAGCTGGAGGCCCGTGGTGTCCCAGCCGAAGGGCTTGAACTCGGCCTAGCCCCAGGCTGTGGAGAAGCCGTGCTAGGCCCCCCGCGGTCAGTGTCCCGTTCTCTCCATACAGGCCAAACAGCTGGGCCAGGTAATGGTTCTGCTCCTGCTCAGCAGGGCCCAGGTTGGGGGCTGAGCCCCCTACCCAGCCCAAGGTCATCCACACACACAGGCCAGCCACAAGATGACTCCTTGGGGGCCCCATTATTGGGGGGAATGGGCTAGAGGCTCTGCTTCGGGCTTCTATTCCCCTTGGAACATCCTGAGGACTGTGACCTGGAAGAACGAGGAGGAAAGGCCTGGGCTTCTGCTCTGCTGTCCAGCTCAGGCCTGGGGATTCCTCAGTCCCTGTACCACCCTGCCTAGAACCTAGCTGCAGCCCCCATTCTAGCCTCCTTTCTCCCTCCCCATTGCCTATTTCTGGAGCAGCCTCTTATTTGCCAATTCCCAGAACACCTTCCTTGACCCAGAGCGCCTCCTTCACCTGATCCAGAGCTGACGGCCCATCCTGTCCCCAAAACCCCACCCTTCAATCCTGCCCTACCTCTCCATCTCCCCTCAAACCACAGGGCCTCACCCTCGTTAGCAGTGTGAGAGCCGTCACCTCTGGTCCTGGGCAGGCCTTACTGTGGACGTTAAGATGTTCCTGAGTCTGGAAAGGGAGCGGGGCTCAGCCTCCAGGCGGTCAGGTGGAATGGAGGCCACGTCAGATGGAATGCTGGGATGGACACCCCCGCTCCCGACTCCTAGCCCACCTGCCTTGGGGCGGGGTCTGGGAGGGGAGGAGCCAGTGTGGGAAGGCTCACTTCAGAGAGGAGTTAATGGTTCACTGGTCTCTGGGGTGGGGGTCAAAGGTCAGTCTTGGCTGGGCCCCCGAGTAGGGAGGGGCCACCCTCTGACCCTGGAAAAGCCACGTGGCTAAGAAAAACCTGAGCCTGGCATTTTCTTCTAAATAATTCACCCCACTAACCCACTTGGTACCATTTCAGCCTTTCCCCCTGCATATCCTCTCACCACACCCGACCTTACATCTAGTACTGGGAGTCCTTCATTTCCAACCCCATTCCCCACATTCCCTGGGAAAGTGGGAACCGGGTGTTCCTCGGCTGGTAGGCTGGTAAGGGGGTAAAGAGGCAGATAAGTGGCAACCCCAAGGGCGTGGGGAAGAAAGCATACTTAGCAACTCCTTGTCCCAGCAGAGTAAGAGCCAGAGCTCTGGGAATCAGTGATCAAGAAGGGGGGACGCTCTGGTGTAAAGAGGGAAGAAATAACTGGGCTCCCCTCAGATATCTGACCTGGCTTAAGATCAGGGGAGCAGTCTGATTAGGGCAATTGCCTAGGGGGTTGAGGTTGGCGTTACCTGACAGCAGGACTGGAAGGACGCCCAGAAGAAGGGGGACACAGCCTTCTTGGTTCCAGCTGTGGGGGGGGTAAGCAGGCAGGCAGGCGAGCAAGGGTCACCTGCAGGGGGGGGGCAGGGGAGGGAACTACCTTAAAGGGGCAGGCCCGCTTTGCCTAGACCTCCTTACCTGTAACCAGTCTTCCTCCCACCTCCTAGGGATAGCCCATTTTGCCAAATATCTGACTGCTAACCTCTTCATTTTCCCACAAAGAACAAAGAAGTCCAGTACAGAGTGGTAACGTTTATTAGGAAGGAGGGATTCAATTTGTCTGCCACATCACACACACCAGAAACAGACTGTGACTTGCTTCTAAGAGGATGGAGGGTGGGCAGGGGGCAGTTTCAGCTGGGCAAGGCAGGGAGTATGGGCTTAGGGTGGGTAAGTCCACTGCTCACCACACCCCTCTAGTGAAATTTAGTGGCTAAAATACTACTACCTACCCACCCCACCCCACCAAAGCCAGCACCCTAGAAGAAGGCTGGGTGCTCAAGATGCTGGGGTTCTGGTGGGTGGTGGGAAGGGAGGAAGAAAGTCTTGCTATCTCTTGCTGCTCCTCCGGGTTTCTTTGCCGTTACTGACAGGGCTGCTGGAGGGGCCCGGAGGGCCGGCAGGTGTGTGGTTGGGCTGGCTTCGGGTAATTCGGGTGCTGGGGGGATGCGAGGGTGCGTGAGGGGGGTGCGGGCCACCACCAGGACCTGGTGGGGCACTCAGTCCATTCCCGTTCTGGTTCTCAGAGGCTAGAAGTGGGAGAAGGGGAAGAAATACAGGAATTAGAGAACTAAGGAAAGCGGTGCGTCCCCGAGGCCCTGCTGCAGGTCCCAGAGACGAACCCAGTCTTCATCAAGCACAGCTGTGCACTCCTGCCCGATAGGACCAAGCAAGTGGAGGTTGTATGAACGGAGCCCCAGAGAAGTTGCTATGTGAGCCCCAGTGTGATATTTTTCTCTTTTATTCATCTATGTATCAGGGAGGTCAGACCTAGAATTCGCTGTTTAGTTCTAGATTCAAGGACATCTGACAAGAATGCCCCTTTATCAAAAGTCTTTGTAAAACCAGAGAAGCATGGGTAGGGGAAGGTCCCGAAGTTTCTGTGTTAAAATATAAGAAGGATCTTAAAAAAAAAAAAAAAAAAAAAGTGGTGGGTATCACAAAATGTAGCTAAGAGTGAGCAAAACAATTATTACTCACCCCCCCCAAATAATAAGTAACATTTTTGTGGGTAGCTTACATGTCTGATGGGAGCCAGGTGTGTGAGATGATTTCCCTGAGCGCCTGCAAAGGTGCATCTTACTAACCTTGCCACACCCACAATGTGACTCTATGTTCGACTATCTCCTTCATAAGCTACAGGCTCCTAAAGGCAGGCGCTGTGTTTTATTCCTGGCTTTCTCCTCTAGACATGCTTGTTAAGTGAAGACACAGGCCTGCCTCTCATATGTAGAGGGCACTATGACCCCTAAAAGGGACAGAAGTCATAGGCTAGCGGTTCTCCAACCACATCCTTGCTGAGACCCGGTTGCTCCACACCAAGACAGCCGAAACAGAAAAATATAATGCCTTTTGCTCAATACACAAAAAATGTTAGAAGAGAATATAGAAAGCTTTTCTGTTAAGTTTTTATGCCATCCACATTTTTTTGTTTTTTTGTTAAGCCTTTTTTACCTGTCAGGTCACCAAGTGAATAAACATCTGGCAGGTATATATGAGGGGCCAAGAGGCTAACATGTATCTTATTTAAAATACTTTTTACAAATTACGGAGTTAGGGAGACCTGGAAATAGATAACAGTCATATTTCCCATTGAAAACATGGATGTTGGGACGCCTGGGTGGCTCAGTTGGTTAAGTGTCTGCCTTCAGCTCAGGTTGTAATTCCCAGGGTCCTGGGATTGAGTCCCACATTGGGCTCCTTGCTGGCAGGGAGCCTGCTTTTCCCCCTGCCTGCCGCCGCCTACCCCCCCCCCCCCCTGCTGGCTTGTGCTCTCTCCCTCTGCCCTCTGAAAAAGAAAGAAAATCTTAAAAAAAAAAAAAGAAAGAAAGAAAGAAAAAGAAAAGAAAAAAAACATGGATGCTGATTTTTTGTGGTGGAATTAAATGTTATTTCATGATGTGTCCAAGAAACCCCCTGACCCTGGTGGTTCTGACGAAAACAATTCTGAGAACTATAGCAACTGGGGATATAGGCACAGACTGAGGAAGGGCAGAAGCAACCCCGAAGCCTCATGTCATATGCAGAAACCTAAGTCACCGATCAGAGGTAAGAGAGAGCCAAATCCCAGGGAGTGCTGGGGTCAGCTGGGAAAGAACCCAGATGGAGAAAAAGAGCAGTAAAAATCCAGTTCCTAAGGAAAAGTGAAGGGATGAAGGAGATGATGTTGGTGAGTGATTCTAATCAAAAGCAAGAAATGAAAAAGCAGGGCTTGAAGTATAGGAGATGAAAGAATCTTAACGCTGAGATCCAAGGCGTACAAGAAAGGTCTTTAGTTTCAAGAAGAGTGATGACCCTAAAAGGAAACTCCTTGGTGCTCTAAAGCTGTACAGTGTGGACTCCATGTTAAGTCCTCTGCATCCATGTCAGAACCGTGGAATGAACTGAAAGGGCAAGGGGAAAAGGGCAAGGACCCGCCAAAGAAGCAGAAAGAAACAAGATCCAAGGAAGGAGTGCAATATTTGCTGAGATACTGTTCTCACTGGTGTCCTTGAGTGCTAGTGGCACAAGAGTCCCAGAGTTCTAGCAGTGACAGAAACAGGTCCCCAAATCTTTTCCCCACAAGGACTTGCAAAAGAACTGGGAGGAAGGACTGGCTGGAAGGGAACACACTGAGAGAAAAGAAATTGGGGAAAGGGGGATGAAGGCAATTCATCTTTCCAGGCTGGGGAGAGAAGAGGAGCTAAAAGAACCAGCGGCTGGGAGGAAAGAGGTGTACCTGGAGAAACGGCAGGGGGTCCAGTGGTAGGCTGGGGGGCTGGAGGGCTGCTGTCGTTCTGCACCTAAAGGCACAAATTAAATACTCAGACCTTGCCCTCCACCCCCGTCCCCCATGCTCCTGGGACTGACCTGCCCTCCTTCCCTGCCTCAAGGCCATGGAACTCACCACCTTGTTGGGTGCCTGCTGGGCGCTGTACTCTGGGTTTGGCTCACTGAAGTTAGGAACCTCAGAATATACCATACAGAATCTGCAAGGAGAGAAGTTGGCTAAAGCCTTGGACCCAGTCTCTGGACCACTGCTGGAGGCCTCAGAAAGGTCCAGATATGAAACCTGGACTCTATAACCATATGCTGCCTCTGTGCAAAGCTTAAACTTACCCCCTTGACCTGGTGCTTCTACATCTCAATCCCCAAGACACTTACTCTCCAATCTTCTGAAGATCACCCCCACGTCCAGTGTATAGCGTCAGACAACCTTTGAACACTGAAGCGTACCTGTGAGGGCACAAAAAAGTAAGATTCGGAATACTCATAAGAGTTACAAGGGCTGTTAACTCTTAACTCCCCCCCCCACACACTCCCACCTTAGCTGTTACTGCCCGTGGATAACCAGGAGTAACCAGGAATTACCCTTTGGTGAGCCGAATAATGTCTCCAGGCTGGATCAGGTTACCCACGTCGTCCCAGACAGAGATATTGATGCTGCCTGTTTTGTCTGCCACTTTGCAGGTCCGAACCTCGTGCCCGTCCTTTGTCTTGGTCACTCGACCTGCAGGGAACAGATAAATGGTGGGGCGGGTGGGAGGAACAGATGATCAGAGGGATGAGATCTAGATACTGGTGGGGTGAGGGGGGAGTGGAGGGACAGCACCATGGAGAGGGGCGCTAGTGGAAAGAGGCCCGAGTGGTGCTGGAGGCTTGGATCTGGAGAGTTCCATCTACCCTACACGCAACTACAACTCTCTAGGCCAGGATCTAGGAGAGGTTAGGTGTGAGCAATTTCTTGGGGTGCGCCCTGACATCCCGGTAGCTAATTAAGTGCGGAGATGGTGTTTCCCCCCTCCGACCCCTCCCCCCAACCCAGAGAGACCGCGCAGGGGGCCCACCATCCCAGAATAGCCACCTGTCTCCAGCACAATGAAGATGAGGTTCAGATTCTTGAGCCCGGGCTTGATATCCTTCACGAAGGTCTCCGTCGTCATGCTGTCCGAGCCTCCGCACCACACTAGAAGAGATAAAGGGGAATGAAGGCTCAAGGCTTGGAGACTTCGCCCCCATGCTCCACTTCCCAAGGCCTACCTACCACACTAGGCTGGGGTCAGGCAGCCGCAAATCCTCTAATTCTTCTAAAAGTTTAGAAACGAACTTCCCCAAGAGCCTCCAACTTCAAGATCAGAATTTGAGGGTCTCTGGATAGGCTGCTTCGAGGTCGGAAGGCCCCGTCCCGGGATGCTCTTTCAGTCTCAATCCCCGACGTCGGGGAGCTGACGGAGACGGGGGTAGGGAAACTGGTGCAGATCCAAGGAATGCAACCTTACTCGCCAAACCTTCCCGAACCCTCATCCGGACAACCCAGGACTCGGTCCATCCCCTCCTCCCCCCAGCCACCGCCGCCTACCGCCGCCCACCCACCCAGCCAGCCAGCGGGCCGGACCGCTCACGCTGCAGAGCCGCCCGCAGGGGGAGCCACAGACCCCGCTGCCGCCGGATGCAGCCCGATGGAACGCGGGAGTGAGGACATTCCCGGAAGTTTCCGGCTGGCCTCCCTCCGGCCAATCAGCACTGTCCCGACGCGCCCCGCGCCCCGCCGCCGGCCCCCACTCAGCCAATCGCGACCCAAGATTCACGCGCCGCGAAAGGGGCGGATTTTATGTGTTAAAGGAGCCCTGCAGATGGTTGGCGCCTCGAGAAAGATTGGCCAGCAGGGGGCGCCTAGGGTCCAATTTTACTTACTTGACTGAGAGACTACGCTTAGTCTCCATGACTTTATTTCTAAGACGTGGCCCTGGAAAAAGGACCAGAGGTTTTGGAATACAGTGGACAAAAGTCTGAAACAGGCTCAGCACTTCACTTATTTTATCGACAGTTCTTAACTATGTAATTTCGGTTTGCATACAAGAAACGTAAGTTATATAAAAAGCAGTGCTTAGCACATAGCAGGCACAGTTTCTTCTCCCACTGCTATAACCCTCATCTTTATTCCTGATTTGGGGTCCCCATCTTTAATGCGCTATACAGCCTGCTTCGTCAGAGTTTTGGAAAAAGTAGCCTTCACACCAGAGGCTGACTCACCCTTTTTGAAAGAACGGAACCCAGGGCACAGAACAGCATTTGCATTAGTCCCTCTAAGAGTGTGAAAGGTACCTCTTCCTAATGCACTTATCTCTCTAGATCCCAGGGTCTCCCCCGCTCTCAGAGGCTTTAACGGAGGCGGCCCGAACCTTTAGTTCCCCATTGGGACTTGTTAGAAACTCAACAAAATGTTCTAGTTCTCTAATGTGTACAGCCAGTTACATATATATACAAACCACAACCATTTGTTTACCGACTATCCATAACAAATAGTATTTAAGATTTTCTTTTAAATTTATTTGACAGAGAGAGAGAGGGATCACAAGTAGGCAGAGAGGCAGGCAGAGGGAGAGGGGGAAGCAGGCTACCCGCCAAGCAGAGAGCCCGATGCGGGGCTCGATCCGAGGACCCTGAGATTATGACCTGCGCCAAAGGCAGAGGCTTAACCCACTGAGCCACCCAGGCGCCCCCTTAACAAATACTATTTAATATCAGATTAGCCTAACAGGTCATGTAATTGTAATGTCTTGGCTTGATTATTTCCTTACCTTCTGGAGCGCTTTAGGCTCCGCTTTGACTTTCCTCCGATCCCAGGTTCTCTCCCCCCAACACCCCCAACTACAGTGTTGTATCCTAAGGAAATCAGAGCATAACATAGGAAGAGGGACATCTTATCTCCCCTTCCCTTAGGTGTTTCATGGAACTCTAGTCGTGTCCGGAGAGCCAACGTAGATACAGCAGGAGTGCGGCTAGCAGAGAGGCAGGCAACCCGTTGGGCACCCAAGATCAAAGCCTTGCGGTTAGACACTACCCCACTCTCCACCCAGTGGTCGCCCTGTAGACTACAGTATCCACTCCGGTGACTATGAGTCGTAGGGTCGGGAGGCACCGGGATGCTGACCACCGCTCTGGAAACAGGAGATGCCAAGTCTCACTACGGGCTGGCCTCGCAATAATCTCGCACCTTGTCCCAAAGGAGATCGGACTCGTATTCCCCCGTAAAGTGAAGTCTAGACCTGCAGGGAGTCAGCATCGTGCTCCGCCCCCTACATTCACGCGGGGGAACACCATAGAGTTCTCCCTCCCAAATGGCTATATAGCCCTCGTTGGGATCATAAAGATTTCCGGTGTTGAGGGGAAGCCCGGGTAACCCTCCTCTCTCCTCGTTGGTCGCTCTTGGCTTCTAGTCTAGATTCGAGTTAAACAAAGAGGCGGGGTTTGGTGACGAGCTTCCGCCGGGTTGCGTAGCAGCGGTGGGCGGGGCAAGGGACCCGACTCACAGGGCGACGAGTGGTTGGAACCCATCCTCTCCTTCCCCTTCCCCTCCCAGGATAGGCTGGGACCCGGCACCGGAGCTATCTTGTGGCCGCTGCGGCCTCAGCTCCAGTCGGGCTGGGGTACGGAGAGTCCAGGCCGCTTCCAGGGCGGTGCGTACTGCGCCGGCGCGGGCTTCCACCTAAAAGAGGGTGTGGGGCGGGGGGGGGGGGGGCCCCCGGGGGGGTGGGGGGGGGGGGGTTCAAGGTATTGGAGGTCAGGAGAAGGGATAGGAGTAAAGATGAAAAATGGAGGAAGAGAGCAGGAATAGGGAGGAGTCCGGAGGTGAGAAAGAGGCGCTGGAGAGTGGGTTGTTGGGAAGGTGCATTGGAGTAGGGGAGTCCTAAGTGCGGGAGGGGGTCTGCGCTGACTGGAGGACCGGGTGGAGGGGACCTGGGGTTACAACGTGGTGTTTAAATGGGCAGTGACGACGGGCAGGGAGAGGGAGGGAGGGAACATTCTGGGGGCTAGCCTGGGCACGGGCGGCGGAATCTGAACCCCCGCCCTCGAAGCGCCATAGCTTGGCTCCTCTCCCGTGCCTTGTCTTTGGCAGCCTTGTCTTCCTCCTCCATTCCTTTTCCCCCTCCTCCTCTCACCCCTCCTTGAAGGAATCTCACATTCCTTACATCCCTTCCCTGGCTTTGCAGAGCCAGGCCCTTTCGCAGGCTTCACACACCTAAAGCCTTCCCCAACCCAGAACTCTGCGGAATTGGGAATGGGGAGGAGGGGGCTGGAGAAGGAGCAGAAAGCTGAGAGGTCAGAGTGTTTTGCCCAAGGGGCTCACAGACATCTTCCCCATTCAGAAACTGAGTTCATTCTCCCTAATAGCATCCGTGGCTGTTGAAGGAGCCACACTGTTCATGGGGCCTGGGCTGTGATAGTGATAGTTTGACCACTTCCTAAACAGGTGGTTTTAGAGTCTGATAATAGGGCAAGAAGCTGGTAGTGTTGCTGGTTGTTAGTTTACCCCCAGGTGGGAATGGGGTAGACTAGTGGTAGGGAATCTGAGTGATGTGATCATGTTACTACTCTGTGTGTCCAGCTGACTGTGTCTGGGCCTGGTTCCCTGTAATTGAAAAGGAACAAGCTCCTTTTCGAGCATTTCCTCACTAGCTTTCAGTATTATAAATTTATTTTACGTTCTTTTACTACAAATATCTTACCTGAAACATAGCTGTATTCAGTATGTTTTCACATTTATTATGTCTTTGATTTTCCAGGATAACATATAAGGTAGTTAAAGGCAGGTATCTTCCCTACTTGTCAGGTGAAGACATTGAAGCTATGGAAGAGATATATGGCTTGTTTAAAGTCCTACAGTTGGCAGGCTTGGGACCAGAACCCAAGTTTCCTGACTCCTGGTCCTCCTCTCAGTTGAAAAAATCCTGGTTTCTTCTGGCTAAGGGAACATCCCATCATGGGCAAGATTCTGAGTCTGGAGCTTGTCATTGGAAGACTGAGCATAACCAGTAACAGTGGTTCCTGGAAGCATTTCGTGAGGTAGAGGTGCCTGTGCCAGGTTGTTGGGAAATAGGGTGTGTCAAAATGCAAACAGCATTATACTCTGCTTTGTGATACGGATGAGGGAGAAACAGCTTCCTCACTACCCCCGAAAGAGAAAGTGTGTCTGACATTGCACCTTTATCTCTCTGGTTCATTTAAAAATATTACACTAAACGTGTTGTGGCTGATGAGCATTGTAAACCAATGAGCGTGTGTTCTGGACTCAAGATGAAATGGTCTCAGTTTTATGTGCAAAAATTATCATCATCCTATTGATTTGTAACACAGCCCTCAATCTGTTGATAGCCATGTGATGGGGACGAAAGAAGTTTCAATATTTACTTTTTTCCTGTGTAGTAGTGAGTAGATCTCACAGCACCCTTCATCTGAAGCCTTGTCCCCCTTTACTTGGTCCCATTCTTAGTCAGTCTAATCATACCTCTGATCCTCCCGGTTGTCCACTTGAGAGTAATTGCCCATTTCACTACTGCTGCTGCTTCTTTTTTAAAGGCTAATCCCCTCAGGAATATTTTCTGATTTGGGAAGTAGAATCACACCTGCAGGGATTCTTGAGTATCTTCTCCTTATGGAATAGTATTTTCCAGTTGGAGGGTGGGATTAGAATTGTTTTTACATGACTTCAGTAATTTCTGTGAAAAGCCTTTGGGAAACAGGAAAGCATTGTACTGTGCATGTAAGCTGTCACTGATCTCTGCATCATATAGCCACAGATCTGGAAGCGTTGACATTACTCGTGGTTGTGTGCACTGAATAAGAGAATCTTTTTCCTGTCTCAAATAGCTCTTTACCTTTTTTCTTGTTCCTTCCTCTGCCTCTCTCAGCTATGTTTGACTCTCCTGGACTGTGTATGTGATTCCTTAGCCAGTGCTCTCCATCTTTAGAAGGCAGTCCTATGTCTCCAGCTCTGCAACCTGTTGCCCTTAATGGAATCATCTCATCCTCCTCAGCCAACTGCCAGATCCAGGTCTGTCTAGTTTCACTGCCAGGTGGTGGTAGTTCCCCTGACTCACCTTTTTCTTCCTTGTTCCTATTAATAGAGTGCTCCTGATTGTGACATCACATCCATCCCCTTGGCGATGGAGCTTGTTACTAGGAAGGAAGACTCAGTCGGACAATAGCCAACAAGATGGGTTACTGGGAGCGTCTCCTGAGTGGCACTGAGTGGAGGCCTCAGGGGGTTGGAGCCTTGTGAACAGGGAACCTACCCCCCAACACTTGGAAGGTAAAGAGCCTTGATTCAGAATCCCATTCCAGGCTTCCGGTCTCTTCTCAGCCTGTCTGGATTCCCTCTGCTTTTGAAAACTTGGTTCTTAAAGATTCTTCTGCATAAAGCTTTCTGTGATTAACCCACATCAGTCTGTTCTTTGCATATTTATGTCTGACGGTAACTATTAACTTTTACTTTTTGGTGAATTGCTCAGTCAATTTTATGTCTTTTTATGTGTTTTATATCTTGTATATTCATTGGGCTCAAGCCTACACCTTAGTTTGAGGACAATGATTGTGTTTTCTTTATCTTTTATGTGTCTCTACTGGCAAAGTGTGCGTAGATGATGAAGTTGAGGTTTGGGGCA